CCTTGAGAAAACGTTCAGGATCCCTTGTCAAAAATAAAATCTCAAAATGGTACGAATGAGGGACCCCTTGGGACGGCAGGGGGTCGAATCCCTGAGGAAGGGCATCCCCCCTTCTAAATCCGCTGGTGTCTAAAGTGCTTTTTCGTTGACAAGTTTGATGCAAGTTTCAAAGACCACTTCGATCTATAATTGTTTTCGTACATGTAACTTAAAATATATTGCTTGATTCTTCGCTTCTATTTACAGTTTGCCTTTCTCTTGCTAACCCGGGTTGACCTCCATAAACCGAAAAAGCTTATCTTACAATTCCATACACCAAAATGCTTATCATACAATACCGTACATCAAATGTATGGAAAAATGCTTGTCATACAATTTTCATACAGTACCAAAAAATCAATGAAAAAAGATTCGAACAAGTTTCTGCGGCTATTTGAACCAATAAAACGATCTGATGATGAAAAAAAAACCATGTTTCTAGTTTCTGGAAAAATACGGTTACCATACAATTTCCATGCATGAAAATTGTATGTCTAGCATTTTTTTGATGTCGACAACAAAAATTTTTCCCAGTAAAATTGAAATTGTCCCAATTTTTTGTTTCAACCGCAAATCGAATTTTGCACTCAAACAAACTTTTTCCAAAAAAAAAAAACAAAAGTTTTCCTAATTTTTTTGTCTGCATAACGTAATCCTGGATACACAAAAATTGGATTTTTTCCCGTTTGCTTAGATAACTTTTTGAAACAGGCTGAAAACTCCTATTTCTTTTGTTTGGCATATTTAGATATGCCTTGATAAATGTCTGATAATTGGAAAAAATTCTGATTTTAAAAATTTTTCCAAGTAAAACTGAAATTGCCCCAATTTTTTGTTTCAACCGCAAATCGATTTTGTACTCTAATTTTGAAATTTTTTGCAAAAATTTAAAAGTTTGATGCTTTAAGTATATGATTTATGAAAAAAACTCTTATACAATTCAGGTCGTTTCCAATGCATTGTAATTGCCAGATGGTCAACACTTTGGTGACTATAGTTTTGAGTAAACTATGGTTTTAGTCGCTTGTGTTCGGTAATCAATTTTTTGGTTTATGAAAAAAATCTTATCCCACAATTTCCATAAACAAAAAAAGACCATTAGAGTTTTCTTAACACTTTCTGTATCTATGGAATTGTGAGAAATTGAATGAAAACCATTTTTTCATTTATGAAAATTGTAGGATAAGCATTTTTGGTCAACCCGGGAAACTTGATTTGGCTGAATCGGTTTTTAGGCAACTCTCGTGTGAACAATCTCCTAGGTACTTTTTTAGGACATCCATTGGAAAGTCGTATTAAAACGAAATCACAGATTTCTAGTTTTTTTTCTAAATCAAAGCACAGTTTAGTACAAAACTTGACTGAGTAATGGCTTTTGTTAATATTACAATCAAAAAAAATTGGAGTGCTTTTTCAAAGTTCTTCAATTTATTGTTTAAAGAGTGTAATTTACCTTTGAATACTTTTATATGGTTTTATAGCTTTTCGCTTTGGTTTGAAGCACATATACGTTTTTTCTATGCTTATAGTGTGGCTTTTTATGTTTTTGTTTGTATGAATAATTGAGATACAGCATTAAATTTCATATACATTTGAATTTTGAGGCTTCATATTTTTCAATAATACCAGCACTGAAGGTTTAAGCATTGAAAAGTTAGAGGCCATTTACTTCGCAATCAAAATTTTCTTCAGCAGATTTAGTTCCTGACATATCTCAAAAAAGCGGAAAAAATTATGGAAGAATTGACCTCCGAAATTTCTGAAGAAGACCTCAAAAATGTCAACTCAGGTATTCTAATTGACATTCGAGCTGGCCCAAATCAATATAATTTTTTTGTACTTCAGGACAAGTAAAGCTAAAATTTTGGGGTGTTTTGGCTGCAACAAATTTTTACCTAACAATGATGAGCTTAGAATTTTTTTTTTCAAAAATACTTGATAATCATCGATTAATCAGAATTGAACAATTTAACTAACAGTGATTTTTTAGAACAATTTGCGGTGGGTGGAAATGGACATTTAGAGGTTGGCGAAGAAGAAGTAACAGAGCAGGATGTTGTGAATGAAGACCGACTGCCTCCAATGTTCCCCCACTCTCCTAATAACTCCATCGTGTCCATAGACCCCGAGAACCCAGGACGAGTCACCACCACATCGCCAGATGTAAGTACAAACAAATTGATACTAAATTATACATGCACACAGGCGCGAACCTTGTATTTTCTGGAGCGAGTGGGAAGGATTTGGAAAAAAGTCGAAATTTTTGTCGATCTTTTTTGTTTTTTAGGTAGATCAAATTGATTTTGTGAGCTCTCACAAAACATTATGAAAACCTTTTTTTTGAGAACATTGTCTGCCATGCAGGCAAAGATTTGAAACAACGGGCTATAAACGACGTTTTTTGAAAGTTTCGGACAAATTGCATTTTTTGGCGCACACTCAGACATAAAAATTAGTATATATTGGGACCAAAGGCACCTTTAGAAATTTTTTGTGTCGGTCAGCTTGAATGAATGTCCTACCAAAGGGGTAATGAGGGGTCCAACACCTGAAAAAAAGGGGCGTCAGCCCAACACCGCTAAATCTGCAACCGTTTTATAAAATGGGGTTTATGGTGTCGAGAATATTTTGGTGAAACTTCCAAACAAGCGAACGATATTTGGTCTTTGTTTGTTTTGGAAAAAGGTTTCATAGCTAAACATCAGATAGGTATATCATATTTTATCTATTTTAGTCAAAATTCGATTAAAATTTCCAAGAGTTTTAATTGTATAGAAAAGAATGCTTCAAAACATTTCCTGCATCCAAGTTTAGGCGTAAATAATCGATTATAACGTATTATTAAGATAATTTTTCGACAATTATAATTGATTATAATTACCAAAATTAGGTGTTTAAAAGTTTTATAAGTGATAATAATCGTAATATTTTCCAAGACATTATAATCCCATAAAATCGATTATAATTGTTTATAATCTCTTATTTTACAAAAATTTTGTCAACTCAAAACTATATTTGATTTATATCTTATCGGTGGTTATTTTTGTGTCAATAAGAAAACCTCTAAAAGAGAGATCTCTTGTACACTTTGGTTCATCTGAACACAAAGTTATACCTCGAAACAAAAGTTTCATAGAGATCCTTCCATATTAGTGGAAAGATTCACGCGGTAGCTGAAAAATAAAAACTTCCGAATCATTCATGAAACTAAATCAATTTGCTTATGTTTTGATGGTTAAAAATTTTTTTAATATGCATCACAAAAAAACTCTAATGGGGAAGTAATGAAAAAAAAACTTATAAATTTGAATTGATTGGAAAACTTTAAAAACATTTTTCTCATTTTTCATACGAACCAACGTCTACAAAAAGCATAAAATATAAGCAATCTAGATGCAACTTCGAAAACAAAATGGACCAACAAAAAGGAGTATAATCAACTATAATCGATTATAATGGATTTTTGTGCGAAACTAATGAAATAGAAATTTGAATAAAAATAATGGAATATAATCAACTACAATTGATTATAATTTTATCGAAAAATGGACGAATAAATAAAGGATTATAATGTATTATAGTTAATTAAAATTTGATTTTAAAAAGATAGATTATAATCGATTATTAATTGATTAAAATCAATGGTTTTCTAATTTTAGTATGATTGGTACTAAAATTGTAACATAATCGATTATTAACGCTTGAAACTGGCTGCGGGTTGCCTTAAGTCCAATTTAGAGTGAATTACAGTTTACACCTTAGAGTCATACATCTAAAATTCATGCTTTGAAAATCTAGTTTTGAAATGTGATTTTTAAATTTTGAAATGTGAGTTTTACTACTTCTTAATTTTTGTAGTTTTTTTGAGAAATTATTCTGCAAATTTTTTTGGTCCATTATTTTTGAAAAATTGCAGTCACTCGAGGCCAGTACAAATACAATCAAGTTTCCAACGCAGCAAAAAATTCTATTTCCATTCTTATAAAAAAAACTTTCTTTTTGTATGGTTTTGTTAGGTCGACCGAATTGGTATACTGAACTCTGCCAAAGACCTAAAAAACGCTGTTTTGGCCAAAAAACATAAAACTTGATAAGTTTTATTCAGATTGAAATACTTTGTTTTTCCGAAAAAAACTGAACAATCTACAAATTGGTCTTTTCTTTTGTCGGATAAATTATTTTGAACTATAATCTACAAATGTTTTCCCTGCTTGAAAAGAAAGTCTCCGAAAAACAAAATTAAAATTCGTGGAAAGTTATATTTAAACCAGTAGCGGGTATAAGAGGGATGGGTACCCCCTTAATCAGCTACTGGTCGTAATATAAATTTCCATGAATGTTTTTGGAAGCTTTCTTTTCAAGTAGAGAAAAAATTGCAGATAATGGTTTAAGACAATTTATCCGACGAAGGAAAGACCAATTTGTGGATTGTTCAGCTCTTTTCAGAAAACCGCAGCATTCTAAATGTACGGCAGTTTCGGCCTACAGTTTTATGAGTCTTATGCATTGACGACCCATAATCAGTCTTTCTACATCTTGAACTGAAACTTTTGGGGTTGAATCTGGGGTTGGCTGCAAATTGATTTGATTATTCGACGTAGTTCTAAATGAACGAAAATTTCGGCTGATAGTTTTATGTGTAAAAGTTGTTGATTGAAACACATGGCCGGCCGTGTTGTTTAAATCTGATTGGCTAAAACTAACCAATCAGATTTGACCGCATAAGTTTCAGTTCAAAATATAAAAATGTGTGTAGCGCATAAAAACCAGCTCTACTTCTAAATTGCTGATTTGTAACTAATGCTGATTTAAATTAACCCGAAAAAAATTGGAAAATTGAAATGCATTTGTCTCAAAATTAGTTTATCTTAAAAAAGTGACGTGGGCAAAACTTGTTACAAACTCAACGGAACTAGTATGGTGCAACCTATTTAGCGCAATTCGGATCACAAGTTTTATCCAAAAAATGTTCGTTTGTGGCGATTCTTATTCAATCAAAAATCACCACGCTAAAACTACCACATTAATGATAACCAAATCATATCGAAGAGAGCCTGTTGTGGAGCCATTACTAAGTAAGAAGAATGTAATCTCCAAAAATATGCGAAAAAGTTTTGAAATTGGTTTTAATTCAAAATTTGGCAAGTTAATTAGTAAAACTGACCTTTTTGGCTTTCAAACAAAAATAGATTGATTCCTTTTATTAAATGTTTAGACATTTTATCAGTTCAAAGTTCAACAGGCTACAATAGAGGCTCACCTTGATTCAATTTGCTCATCAATTGACTTGGTGATTTCCGAGTATTTTTTCTTTCGCTAAAAGGAGCCACAATTGAGTCAATTTTGGATTAAAAATTTGCTTGCCAAGTTTTTTTCTTACAAAATTGGAGGCATAGTTGATTCGATGTATTTTTTGGACACTGAAACAAATAATTTTCGATTTTTATTTAATTCACAAACCAAAATTTTTTTCAAAACAGCCCAAAAACTATCTATATTACAACATTTAGATGATCAGTCGGTAATTTGACATAAAAAAAATTACCATTTTATTAGCAAAACTCCTTAATAAAAACAATTCTAGTTCATTTATCATGATTCGGGACAGGAGCAGGAGAAATGCAAAGGAAATCAGTCCCAACTCAGAGAGTATCAAAAAATCAGACAAAAAAGACCTCTCAAAAAACCCGAAAAGCTAATAACCTCGAAAAATTCATAATTAATTTAAAGGATTCAGGTAGCTTGAGGGGAAAATCTCCAAGCCATTCGTATTTCCCTTCCCAAATTTGATCAGAACAAGTGAAAACCTGCAGGATGAAGTTTCGATGAGAACCTGCAGGTTGAAATCATAAAAAGACAAAATCAAATGTATCCCGAAAAACACTATTTGAAACAAAATCAAAATGCAAATTTCAGTTACAAGTTTATCAATGAATAAAAACGCCAATTGCGAAGAAAAGTCTCAGAACTTGAACTCCTGTTGCTACAAAACATTTAAGTTATTTCTCAAAAAATTTTAGTAAAACTTTGAAAAATAATTACAACGAAAAAAAATTGTTAAACCAAAACCAAACTTTGTTCAAGATGGTGAAACAAACCCGGAAAAGGAAGCGAAGGAACAACTCTATCAAATGTTGTGAAAGGGAATGACTTTTCATAAAAATAATAGAAAAATTAGCCAGATTAGAGCAGTCTGAAACAAGCAACAGCAAGTTTTCTGCTAAAAATTGAACGCCGAATTTTTTTTATCCTTTAGAAGATCTTCGAAACAAAAACTTAGAGAAACTTTCTTAATTCAATTACTTACGTTTTCATAAAAAATCTTGTACCCAATACTATCAGAAGTTTTAAAAACACTCGGGGGAGCAGTGGTGAAGTGGTTACGTCTCCGCCTCTCAATCGAATGGTCGGATGTTCGAGGCCCACCATGATCCGTGCTCGCTGCTTGAGGGTGAGGCAACATTACCCAGCTCAGAAAAATAACCAAAAAAATTGCATGCAGTTCTTAAGCAGGGTATAACAGCGGTTCGCCGTTATGAGCTGTACAGCTCGTATGTTGGTCCTATCCTTCGTGGGTAAATGATCTTAATTAATAAGAGCGCGGAGGCTCAAATCTAGAACAATCCAAAAACACTCTTATTAATCCTTGTTTGAATGAAACGCAGATAGCCGGTTACTGTGCAAACAGCACAAAATTTTCCGACCAGTCTTACATTTAAAAAAAAAAAACAGCTATAATTTTTTTGTGTGGTATGATAAAAAGCACCTTTGACATTCGTAGTAAAATAGGCTAATTGGACAAAAAATTTTGTACACAAATGACCAGTAAAACAAAAAAAAACATTAAAAACTATTTTTAAGGGACTAAATTTAAGTTTTCGCGGTTAGAATTAGGCATAAATAAGCTATTGTGAGCCTGCTCGCCCGCTTTTGTTCGATCAAAAACAGACCAAAAAAATCAAAAATTTCCAATCTGTTTTTCTCATTACTGAAGAAAACTTTTTGAAATTTTTTAAAAGTCGTTCAAGTCCCAACTCAAAAGGCTTTAAAATGATTTATCACACGACGCTGTTCAATCGTTATTCGTGGTATTTGAGTTTGCGATGAAAACAAAAATTTGGCCAAACATTTTTGGTAAAAAACACATTTTTGGTCTAAAAATC